TTTTACTGTAAGATGTGACCACAAAAATGCCAGGAAAAGACTACCAGAACATCTGAACTCTATTTGGGCTTAATCAAACGCGTCGCGAATAGCACAGGTGTATGCCGACTCCCATTTATGTGTACTTACGTACATTTCAGAGTTTGTCCTTTTACGAAAGTGAGTTGAATCAGTATTTCTATTTCACGACTGTTGTTGTTGTTGTTTTTTTTTTAATCAAGTATATTTACTTTTATTTGAGTACAGAGTATGAGTGCTTTTCCACTGCTGCATGTGCATGATAAGACAGTCCGTCAAGTCAGCCAGAGGTGCTTTGAGCCCGCCCTCTCCCCACTAAGGTGGTATGGCAAAGCTTTCAGTGATGGGTTGTGGGGGCGCGTGGTAGTGTAACAGACAGCCGCGTGGTCACACTCACGTGTCAGCGCACTATTTACAACAAGAGAGGCCCATCTCAGGCCACCTCCAGCTGCTGCACCGCTTTCCACGGGAGGGGAAGATGTAGTCAGTCAGCAAAGACTTTGCGGACCACTAGGGGGCGTTAAATACCCATGGCAAAATAGGACCTCCTTCAACTCGGGGTCATCAATATGGCAAGCAGCAGGTACCCTCCACGGAGGCTAAAAATAGCTCACTGCTGGAAAATCGTTAAAGTGATCATTTGAAAATGTCAATACAAATAATAGTTGGTAATTACTATGAGGGAACGTTCCCATGATTGGCGCCTTGACGTTGATGAATGTCAGTAAATAATTAGTTACTTGAAGCTAATTGATTCTAAGTGTGTGAAAGTGGTAAGCTTTTGTATTTTTATTTCTTCACTTTTATTATTTCAAAGTTTTTGGAGGGGCTGGAACTGGGATACCGAAAGACCACTGCTGAAAAATACATTTTCTGTTTTTGTAGTGTCTCTTCGACTCCTACGTGAAAGAGCCGTGCAGCATCTTCTAATCGTTCTACTCGGAACTGCTGTATGTGATAGCTATTCCAAGAAGGCATTAACTACATGAGGAGAGGCGTTAGAAGATTGACAAGTGTACATCAATGTGCTTGTATGTGGTTCTCGCAGGGTAGCTGCCTCTCAGGAAGAAAATGAACTCTGTCGCCCTCTGGTGGACTGTTTAAGAACGGTTAGTTAAAAATTACAGATTCAATTTGTGGGGAGTTATGTTGTTTCTAAATCAAATAAAGATTGTTTTCAAGGAGACAAACGGACCTTTTTTTGCATCCAAATAGTTTATGGAGTGCATGCTCACCCTTTTTCAGTGTGAAATTGAGCAACCAAATACATTTTAGCAAAAATGGGCCGGTACAGTTGAATATACCGAGTGGCGGCTTGGGTCAAGTGGCATCCATTGGCAGTCTGAGTGAAGGGATAAAAAAAATAAAAATAAAATAAATAAAAATAAAAACCCTAAACATCAAAGCCCAAAAGAAAGCACAAATGCATTGTTCTTTGTTGGCTAATGTGTCTCAATTATTGAGAAGAGTTAAATACCACACAATATGAAGTGCCTGTAGCCTGTCTGCGAATGTGCTTGATAGTCACGAATCATCTTGATACATATCAATCATAACAACAAGGACAAGAGAAGGCCACTGCGTAAAACGAACATTTGAGGACATGGCAGCGCTGACTGAGGTCGCTTTAGTGCAAAATAAATATAAAAAAAATAAAAGCAAACACAAAGGGAACTAGCTAGCGTCTTCATAGAAAACAGGAAGAGGATGTGGAACAATACTTCACTGGGGGGGAAGCGAAGCATTCAGGTGCTTCCAAGCACGTCTATGTCATGAAACACGGCAAATAAGTTGGCACAAGGAACATGTAGGCCGGATTTATGCCGCATGGCTTAAGTGGCAGTTCCATTTTTGTGCTGGAAATGGCCGTGAGTGGGAATGTGCGTGATAGGAGTGGGAAGAGACCCGAAAAAAGAAAAAAAAACCCAGAGGAATCAGATTTCTTAAGATTAGAATCAAATAGCGATGAAAATCAGACCTGATTTTTAACCAATTTGAGGGCAGCCTGTTTATGGTCACACCAAAGCCCTGACTAATACAAAAGTATCGCTTTGGCACGAATCTCGTTGCCAAGGAACTATGTTGAAGTGACCGGAGGCGCTTTAGATCTATCACCCCGCTGAGTAGTGAAGCGACGCTTTGGCACCACCTCATGTCATATGTTGGTAATTATACACGAATCAAATAGCGATGAAAATCAGACCTGATTTTTAACCAATTTGAGGGCAGCCTGTTTATGGTCACACCAAAGCCCTGACTAATACAAAAGTATCGCTTTGGCACCAATCTTGTTGCCAAGGAACTATGTTGAAGTGAGCGGAGGCGCTTTAGATCCCGGAACAGAGGGGTTTGTGACGTTTGCTATGCGAAAAAGCCGGAGGGCACTTTGACGGCAATTTCAGTTGACAGTAGGTGGTCGTCCGCAACTGTATTTCAGTGAGGGGACATGCGGCATGATGATTGAGCCACTTGCCTTGAGACATCGCATCACTCTTGTGTCTTATTGCATCACGGTGTACAAGTAAGATATGTCGTCAAGTAACGGTGCAATGTGTCATTCAGCTCTTGTTCACCTCAGTTGCTCTCATCAATGTTGACACTTTCAACACCCTCCCTAGACTTGGCTCTGAAAATAGCACAAAGTAATGAGAAGTGGACCTGGCCACTCAAGCAATTCAGACTTCCTCAAGCTACAATGATATTTCCGGAGAACCTTTTGCCACTGCTGGTGGGCACTCCAGGAAGGGTCTTGGTATTGAAAAAGAAAAAAAAAAAAAGAATCGGTCTCCTATGGGGGTAGTTTGCAGTTCCCGGGTAAACCAAATAACGAGAAGCGGTATAGAAAGTGTTATTTCAGTGACCCCCTTTTTTTTTTTTTAAAAAACAATCTTGATCCCACTGCTTCTTTTGACCGCTCTTCACTCCTCACACCTCTTAAAGCACACTCACTGTATTTGTTATTTCCTTTTTCCACAGAACCCCCTGAGGGGATGACAAAGGTGACAGACGATGTTGGCAGTAATTGGCCGGCTGATTGTCGGGTCGTGAGGCCACCTCTGGTTGGAAAAAGTATAAACAGGCGCAGGAAGTTTCGAATGTAGAGCATTCACGACGTCAACGGCAAATTTTAATCAAAGATGGCTCTGGGTGTCCCCAAAGCTATTTTTGAGGGTGTTTAAAAAAAAAACATCTTTACTTTTTTTTTTCCCCGAGAACATCAGATTTTTTTTAGAAATTTTCATTATTTGTTTTTGAGTTGGACCGATAAAAATAAAATAATCACACCTACGGAAAATTTCAAGCGCTCAACCAACCTACCATACGTGCTTTTGGAATGTTCGAGGAAACCGGACTACTTAGAGAAAACCCCACAATCCACAGAGGAATTGAACCATAATACCAATACAAAATACACATGTGAGATGCAGGTGTTATTTATGTCCACTTGGGGTCGCCATTAATCAAATTCCACGCTCGAGTATCTGTGATTTTGAATGTGTGTGGCTTTGAAAGGCGCGACCTGTTGAGTGACATGGGAGTCAGGATGTTAAGTTTTGTATTTCATGTGACTTTTATGTTGTGCCACGGTTTAATTAAAATTCATTTATATACTTTTATACATAAAAGACATCCTGGGGTTCTTCACACTGAGTCTGAGGCCGTGCACTACTGACTGCTCTCGTATTGTACCTAAATGCCAGATCCGAAACGTGTCCTTAAAACATGCTCGGAGCTGACAAAGCGTTCTTTGTCGACAATTCATACAAACAACAAATGCACTTTGGGCACATGATCATCAGCTGGTCGTTTTGCCGGTTGCTTGACAAAGAACGATGAGGAATGGCAGGGAAGGAATATCACAGCACATATTGATAAAAATAAATAAATAAATAAATAAAATAAAAAAATGTAGCTCATAATTTACTGCGATTCAAGAAAATTTCGTCAAGTGCTTTCAAAGTAATGTGTGTCGACCCATGTGAACAGGGAGCCCATTTTCTAAGTCATTGCATAAATTCTTGGAACTCGGGATGGCCATTCTAAGAAACGACCATGAGCAATCAATGCAATTTAAAAAATAATTATAATGTACTGTTTTTTTTTTGTTTTTTTTTTTTTACATTGAAGTGTGCTTCACCACAATGAAATCTTGATTTTTCTTTTTTTTTTTTATCAGGCCTTTGCTGATTTTGATCGCAAGGGGACATTGAAAAATCGGGATTGGAAATTGTTTGACAGTATATAATCAGACGAGGCATTAAAAAAAAAAAACTAAACAAAAAAAAACGTGAAGGCCAAGAGGTGCTGCTGCAGCTGTCTGCTCAGTCGTGCGTGAGCCGATTAACACTGGGACGCTTTTATCTGAGTGCTTTTCTCAAGATTCTTCTTACACACGGCTAAGCACGTGAACAAATCTGATACTATGGTTGAGCCTCGTCCCTTTCCACCAGAGATTGCGCAAATGTCAAAGCGCCCGACAAGAGACTCATCATCATCAACATCATCTTCCTCGCCCCCCCCTGAAAGCTGCTATGAGACCGATCTTTACATTTTATGACAAAACTTGGGCTAAGCATATACATGAAGTTTGTTTTGATTCGTTCATACATACGATTCGTATTTGACGTGATATGTTTTATTTCCAGTCCCCCCCCCCCTTTTATAATCCCGTTTTGAAATCTGATGAGATTATATGGACCCACTGATTAATCAAGGTAATGCGTTTCTTTCGATTTTTCATACGACCGGTATATAATAAACATGCCCCCCTCCCCTTCCCCATCCCCGTCGCAACCTCTTTCCACCTTTCACAAGCCGACAGATGTGTGTTGCCGTGCGAGCGCACGTGCGCGCGCAAAGCCACACACTGGCTTGATCAATGCGCGGTGCCAAATGTGAGCTGTGTGTGATGGGTTGCCAGCAGGGGCATGGTCAATGTACTGCTGCTTGTTTTCTGTCAGGCTTTTTTCATATTCTTGCAGTGTGCAGCAGCTCACCGATGCCTCCCCTGTATGACTTCAATCTCCCACTTTGGGATTAGAGACCGAAGAGACGCAAGCTTCATAATCTCTGCACAAGAAAAAAAAAAACCCAAAAGGTACGTAAGTGACTTTATGACATTATGGCAGCATGACTTTATGAAGTATTTGTTTAAATGTTAGTTGAGCAAAGCCTACCGAAATGTAGTATTTGGGTCAAAAATCGTACTTCTTATGTTTGACCATGAGAGTTGTTATTCGATCCTCTCCTAGATGATGATTAAAACAAAACAAGAATTATTTTCAAAATATTTGAAAAAAAAATGTCTGACTGTCTTGAAATGATATTTTCACCACATGATTAACCAAAAAAGGACACATTGAGACGTAAAGATATAAATTGAAACTTCGTTTTCACCTCGCTAATTGTTAAATATCCAAAAAATGTATATTCCGTTATTTTCACACTGCATGGTTTCTTCAAGCAAACAAAAATGGAAGCGCTGTATGTTGACATGAAACAAGAAATGCATGATTTCTCTTAGCCTGTTCTTGAAGAAAAAGAATGTTGATTAAAAAAGTATCTGACGTTGACACTGTCAGAACAATCATTTCAAATGCAAAAAAAAAAAATCGCTTTTAGTCTCCACATTAGAAATAATTTATATATATATTTTCAAAAAAAAAAAAATCGCTTCAAAGTCCCCACATTAGAAATAATTTATATATCTTTTTCCCCTGATGTATTTTAAATATTTAGCGCTGCATTGTCATGACTGTATGATGAAGAATTCAACTGTGATATCGCGGTATAAGAACGTGTCTTTCTGTGAACACGCACTTGTGCGAGTAGCTCTCCTGATGCTTCGACGGGCTGCCAGAGTGAGCACGGCGCAGGCAGACACGCGCTCGGTTTATGCGTCTCGTGTGCGGGAGGGAGCCTTGATGCCGAATAAGTGGAAGTGAGAGGTGACTGAGAGATCCGTCTGACGCACGAGCCTTCATTGAGCACGACATGTTGAATGCATAGCGAGCCTCAATGAGCGCCGGCTAAACATACGGTGAAATAATTTTGAGTGCATAAGTGAGACAGGAGATATCACTTTTGTACTCCTGGTACACACATATGAGTCGAGTGCGTAACCCTGAAACACGTGCCGGCTCTGGTGGGAAGTAACAATGTTCAACTGGACTGTAAAACTAAAGATTGATCAAATAGATCGTATATTAAACCAAAACATTTTTGCTTCTTCATGCTGACACACAATGTTCATAGGTATATATTCTTTATCCTCTGCGAAAAACGATCTTTGCAGTTTAGTTCACACAGTCTTCATCATCATCATCATCATCATCATATCTAAGCGTACGTGTCTGGATTGTGGCAAATGTGTTGCCAGCAGATTCTGGCATTCAAGAATTCTCATCTAACTTGCTCCCAGTAGCTACTTTTACTTTGTTTTTTGTGTTGAGTACTTTGCCACATCTTGGCGCACAAACGTGGAGCTAAACGGAATATAGACAAAATGGGGAGTGAGAAGGGGAAGTAAACATTGGACCGAATTTGGTTTGATGTTGTCCAAGAACGCAACGGGAAGCGTGTTTAGAGGCCTGATAATATTGTGCAAACCAACGCGCGCGCACTCCAGCTTATCACATCAACAAAACATGGAAATCCTTTTATAATCAGCGTCTCGGCTGTGAACTGTCCACGCGGAAAACTGACCCCGTTTTTCATCATCACAAAAGTCTCGACTTAATCGCCACTTTGGTAAATGTGTTGAAGGCACCGCAGCGTTGGATAATTGTGACTGATTGAAGACTCGCACCGCACACACATCCGGCCCATCGTTAATTGTCATCTGTGTTTGTTCCTACTTGAGTTGATTTGGACGGGGAATGTTTGTGTTTGCTCCAGTCCTAAAGGTGACCCTCTCGCATCCATTTATCTGACAGGCTTCCTTTTCCCGTTATGGTGGTAGTGAACAAAACAGGCACTAGTTTGGCAGCTCGTGACCAATTCTTCTTCTTCTTCTTCAAAAAAGAGGTTTTAAGCCGTTTTTTGCCACTCTTATTTGAGGTTTACAGTCAAACTAAAAAAATAACCACCTAGCTTCGCTTATTGCTAACAGACAATGCCGCACACCACAGACAGGCTAACGATTAGCTTCGGTGTCTCAGTGTTACAACCACTGAAGCAATGGATATTTGAACACCAACAGTGTAGCAACACATATAGACAGACAAATATCACAGGACCCAGAGGCATATTTTCTTTGTTGTCTGCAAAAAAAAACAAAAAACGACTACTATTGTTGCACCTAACAACTTAGTTGTGACCATCTCCGTGAATACATGATTGTCTTCCTAAAAAGCAATATATAAATAATATAGTACCGTATATTGTATGTCAAGCCTCAAAACCCAATAAAGGGTCGTTTATCTATTGCAGCGTGTCGATAAATGTACAAGGCTCAATTGCTGTGAGGCGAAGACTTGCGAGAGTCCACTTCGGTCGTGATCGGCTTAGTCGTTGGGTGTTTGGTGGGCCTTAGTAGCTACACCCCGGGTTGACAAACTCCCACCTCATCACATTCACGACCACTACTATTGAAACTGACGTACTATATGTGTGTTTGCTACAGAAATGGACCGGCAACACAGTTTCTATCGGCAGGTGGATGTCCAGGACCACGTCCACTACATTGTCGCTTTTTTTGTCCTCGTGATCGGAACAGTGGGTGTGACCGGAAATGCCTTAGTCATGTACGCCTTTTTCTGGTAAGAATCTTTCGATTGGCTTATTTGTCCACGATTGTCCTTGTAAAGGCTGCATCGGAATTCTGATCATGGCGGTAACAGAGATGAAGACATTTGATATCAACATTGATGTTGTCAGGGCAGGGACCAAGGATGAGGGGGGAAAAAAATCAACAAGACAAAGTAATGCCGTGAAGTATTTAGTTTAATTATTTGATTTAGATTTCGCATTGTTGAGGCATAACAATATTCTGTGGTAGTAATTAAAAAAAAT